GGCAGAAGTGTAGAAAATGGTGTTGGTGTAAACCAGTGGTGAAATCCAATTTTTTTTTACTACCGGTTCTGTGGGCGTGGCTTGGTGGGCATGGCGTGGCATGGTGGGTGTGGCTGGGGAAGGATACTGCAAAATCTCTGTTCCCATCCCACTGCAGGAGAAGGATAATGCAAAATCCCCATTCCCTCCCCACTCCTGGGGAAAGGATATTGCAAAATCTCCATTCCCACCCCACTCTGGGGCCAGCCAGAGGTGATATTTGCCGGTTCTCCGAACTACTCAAAATTTCCGCTACCAGTTCTCCGAACTACTCAAAATTTCTGCTACCGGTTCTCCAGAACTTGTCAGAACCTGCTGGATTTCACCCCTGGTGTAAACTCACTCTTGTGTGGTTCCTTTTTTATTTATTTCCTGTTATTTTATTTTACATTGTTTCTAACTCTTTTCTCTGTACTTCAGATAACTTTGCTTATCGCAAAAGGAATAGCACAAGTTATGTATGTAAGCAGCTAACAGATGTGAACATAATGAGCTGTGAATTAATATTCTTTTCACTGATAAAGTGCAGAATATTTATTTCAAATACTTTATCCTATCCTATTTTTCTTCTAAAAAAATTAGATGTTTTATAGCCAGTTATTATTTTCTTAATGAATGGATGTTCTTTTTTAAAATAGCATTGCTTAATTGTTTCTCACTAGGTTATTCGAGCATATTTGCAGCTGCTGTAAGAGATGATCAATGTTCTACCAGAGTGTTCACATGCACTTTGGAGCACCCTTCTCTCTTTGAATCTGAAATTCGGCATAGGCAACTATGCAATGCTTGCTTCAAGTAACCAAAAGAAGCATACAAAACAACCACTGCTTTATTCCTAGTACCTATAGTAAGTAAAATCCCTTTACTCTTAATTCATATAAAAAAGAAAGTCAAAGAAATCAAGAATTTCCCAGGTAAACTCTTTTCAAAATAGCTAACCATGGTTGTTTCTTAATGTGATAATGGGGATTAGGTTTGGCTCTTTGTGGATGCTCTCAAGCCAGGGTGAATAGTAGCCCAAGCAAAACAAGATGAAAGAGTTTTCTTTTCTCTTTGGCAGAGGGATTGCTGCCTACAAAGCATTGAATAGCCACTTAAGTTTGCTTGTTTCATCCTGCAACCACTTTCAGTTTAGATAATATCAAGCAATAAGTTTCAAGGTGAACATTCATGGTTGGGGTAATGGGGGAGCATTGGTTGTATGTAAGTTCAGGAACAAAGAAATGATGATGAGAAGCTCTGACCAGTGGGAAAACCAGATGACCCATATGCTAATCATTGCAAAGTTCTACAAATGGAAATACTAGCTTTGTTGCAGTCCCCAATATATTAAATTGAATGTCAAATAAATAAATAAATAAATAAATAAATAAATAAATAAATAAATAAATAAATCCAGAGCAGCTTTTAATCTTTACGTGCTGGTGCTTCCTTGTTATAGAATGTGAACTAGAGGGATTTTCTTGTATTTGCTTTTCAGGGAGGAAAGTTTTCTTTTGGATATAATTTTCTATGAACAGAACAACTGCTATCATTGTATTGTGCCAAACATTGCTTCCATAATAATTTCAAATATATTAATGAATCCTTAGAATTAATATTCATTGTATCTGCAAACTGCTTTTGTTGCAAACAGTCCAGCAATACTATCAACTCATAGTAATTGATTACTTCTGTGTCAAAATAAAATTGTCAAGCTCCAACTGATTAACATTCACAGTGGCATAAATGTAATTTAATCAATATGTATGGGAACAGCAGGAATGCTATTATTAGCGTTATGTAGGAAGTCCTTCGTGAATAAAACAAAAAAGCTGTTACATTAAATAGAATTAATATAATTTTAAATACAATGATGATACTTTTGAATATAGCAATTGCTTCCTATTATAGCATATTTGTAACAAAGCAAACGATCTGCAAACATTAGAAATAAAAGTCGAGGATCACAGTGGAAAAAAAGGGCACTAAAATTAAACATAAAGATGACCACACTAATGACAACTGGTATGTTAACCAGTCTTAGAAATAAAAATGAAGATACTGAAGTAGAAGACAGCTTCTGCTTTTTAGGATCAACCATCAGCAGCAAAGGAACAAGCAGTCAAGAAATGCAGACTAGCACTTGGTAGAGCAGCTATAAAGGCCTTGGAAAAGATAGTCAAATGCTGTGATGTGTCTATACTTACAAAGATCAGATAGTTCTAGGAATAGTATTTCCTATTGGAATGAAAAGTTGACCTTGCAGAAACAGGATAGAAGTATTGATGCTTTTGAACATTAGCATTGGAGAAAACTTCTAAGAATTTTATGAACAACTAAAAAAGTCAACTAATGAATCATATTTCTGTGTTTTCACCAGAAGCAAGAATGACTAGGATCTATTTATTCTATTTTAGACACATTATATGAAGTCCCAGGTTTCTAGAGAAGGTTCTATTGATGGGAGGAAGGAAAAAAAAGAAGAGGACCAGCAGGATGGTGAACATCCGAGCTAGGGACAGATTATCATGGAGAAAATCTATCTATGTAGTTGCTAAGAGTCAACACCAACTTGATGGCACATAATCAATCATAGAATACATTGTCTGTTACTTTCACGAAAGAATGCACTTTCAGACATACGGTAGTATTTAGCAAGGACAGTAGATTAGGAGGAAAAAGACTTTCCATTTTCTAGGGATGAAATAAAGAACTGTCATTCTTGAATTATTTCTTCCGCCATTCAAACCCCATTATGTTTTGCAGTAAGGATAAGAGTAATATTCAAGATGTTTGTAGTTATAATCCAGGATTCATGTCTTTGCTATTTTAACTGACATGCTTTTCTAAAGCAGAAAAATGAAAAATTAAAGCAGTAGTGACAGGAAAGCTAAAACGAGCCAATTTTCCATATCCCACTAGGCAGACTAGCTCAGATGTCATTATATATGAAAAAAGAAGCTTGTATAAGATCTGGATTTCCTGCTCTGAAGCAGCAGACATGGGGGGAGGGGTTCGAGGGAATCCTGATTCACTTGTCTTTCTTAATTTTATTCATAAAGCTTTACACCTCTAAGCTGAACATGAATTTTATTTGCACCAATTATTGGCACATTTGAGACATAAAATGCATCCGTGGAAGATTACTCTGACATCTTTATTTCACATTTGAAATCAGAGAGTGATTTGAAAGTCACTAAAGTGTTCTGTCAGTGAACTCATTAGTGAAGGTAGACTTTGAAGTTGGATCCTTAAATGACAGCCAAATTAATTCTGAAGGAACCAGTGGCATTTGTTTACATTTCTGCTGGATTCTACACGATGCAGAAGCAAAAATTCATACAAGTGAACTGAATGAAATTCATCTGTCACCTCAGGCATTTTTTTCAGAATTTGGATAATGGGTCTAGGTTGTCCCAATTCCATGGAAAACAGAAGTGTCTGTCCTGTAGAACAGAGATCCCCTTTCTTCTATACCCTTTATAATAAATAAATTGGCTCTATATTCTCACCTCTCTCATTTTATGAGGACAAATACGGGATCAAAAGCATCTGCCTTACCATGTTTACTGTTTCATCAGACATTCCATCACATATATTGTGAAGCTTTACCCTCCAGAAAAGTCCATATTATTCAAGTAGAATTTATGCAACAAAACTATTTTTTTTAAAAAAAAATTCTGCTCCTTTCATACCAACCCGCAACATCACAATGAACTGCAGAAGAGGCAAGTCTTGTATCTTAACACCATAATGTCACTTTGATTCTTCTGTAGCTATTACTGAACACTGCACTGATTTGATGTTAGGTCTCTTTCTCTGTGCTTATGCTTTATTCAGTACTGTTTTATCATTTAAAAATACAAAAGGATTCTTGGGTTGTGAGAGAACAAGGGGTTGCTATCATCTATGATAGTTATCAGCTTGGTTTTGGAGAGGCACAATTCCAATAAACTCCAAATGATGACTGCAGCACCTCTTTTTTCCAATATTATTCTTCTTCCATGTCCTGGGCTGGCCTGGCTAACTTATACTAACTTGTGGCCTTTCCCCAGATGCTTGGGCCTTGCCATTTCCTAACAGAAAGACGTTCATCCAGTGCATCTTTTTATCCTCATTATGATATTACTGTGATTTGACTGTTCACTTTGGTATGGATATGATAAATTCAATATAAATATTTAAAAAGCTGCTTTCTGCTATGTAAGGTATAATCATTTGTTCTCCATGCCTTAATTTGTGGAATCAAAATATTAAAACTAAGTTTAATCATTCCTGTACAAAAATAACTGAAAAGGATCAAATTGCATTTAACTGAATTGCTTTCACTGAATATGTCTTACTTGTAGCTTAGGAGCAATCTTAACCTCCAAGTACTCTGTCAGGAAGATCTAATATTTCTGAAGTACTGCTAGTAAAAGACTAGCAGGTTGAAAAAAATAGCTTTTGCCTCCTTGAGAGAAACAAAAAGATTTCTTAAGACTGTGACCTCAAAACCTGATCTAAAGGGTTTTCGTTGTTGTTGTGAATTGTGGAGAACTCAAAGAGCTTTAGGTTCTGCATGCCAAACCTCAACTATTTTCTTTCTATTTTTGCCTACAAAGAGAGGAATAAAGGGATCTTTTATCCTTCTGAAGTAAAAAAAAAAAAACAAATTTGAGGAACATCAGATTATTGTAGTGTCACTGTAATAGCATCCTTGGGAGCATGAGATTTTCCAACTTTATTGGCTAATGTGTGATTTCTTGCCTCGTAAATTGTGGTAATTTGGAGCAGCAGTGAAGAAACTCAATAGTATTTTTTTAAAAAAAGACTAATCACTAATTAAATACCAAATATCTTCCAAACCCACTCACCCACACATGTCCCAATGCCCCATCTACTTTGTGGCCTTCATCCAATAAAATAATAAAATGTGGAACTTTGCCTTATTTTCTTTTAGCACATTTAAAAGAAGTGGGGGAAATAATACACCAACCAATGTTTATTCTTGCTTTTATTTTGTTTAGAATATTTTGATACTGAAGCCCAAATTGTTATTTTCAAGGGACTGGTGGGGATGGGGGGAATAGAGCAAACATGTAGACAGAACAAAAAAGTTTCCATTTGTATTATAATTTTGTGATCAATTATTTTGGTAAGCAAACAATGTTTTCTTTAAAAAAAAAAAAAAGACAGACAGCACCACTGATGAAGCATGATCCCTGAATTCTAAACCAAACACTGTATCTTAAAAGAAAAAAAAAATCACTTGGTCACATTTATTCAGGTAATAAAGAATAATAACCACTGCAATGCCGCTGAAATCAAGTGTTCCCCTTTCTGAGAATTTAACACAAAGTGTGTATGTGTGAGTGCGTGGGTGTGTTTGTGTATTTCTTTGGTAGAGGACTGAGAGGAGTTTTTGTTTCTCTATCCAAGGACAAAAATATCTATTTATGGTAAGAATACATAAATGTGTGTTCCTCAGGCATGCTAGATATGAGTTGATTTCACATTGCTTCAATCTGGGCACGAGAAATACTTCCCTAAAAAAGGCATTGAATGGCTAGTGTCAGAGAGATGTAAACATTCAAAATACTGACAAATAATAATAATCAGAGCATACAAAACTCAGTACCAAAACTGTTGATCGACTCGGGTGTTTGGAAAACAGTAACAAAAATAAAACAAAACAAAACAAAATAAAACCCCACTTTACAGCAGTACAAGAGAATTATGGCAACAAAGTAAAGCACTTTTCTTGTAACATTCATGAACAATACAAAGACAAAAGTATTCTACAGGCTAAATTATCTTTAAACTATCAAATATAGTACAAAGCGAAATATGTGCTATAAAAAAAAGCAGCTCCTTTAAATTAGGCAAAAAATACTATTTTGTTGGTTTTACAATGACAAAGCATGATGATTGAAGACAGCAGGACTTCCCCTTCAATTCAGAAACATTTAGCCACACAGGTTGAGGCTTATTTGCCAACAGGTCATCTCCTTAGTGTTGCACAGGATTCCTGCTGTCACCCACAGGAAATCAGTGCTTAATACGTCTTCCCACATGGAAGCTAAGATGATCCTGCTAGATGGGGTTTCTGATCTCCTCCTGAGTGCTGGTCCTTGGCCTTCAACATATTATGCAAAACCAGAGACTAGAACAACTTCTCTGAAATTGTGTGCGTGTTTATAATGACTGCAGCATATGAACATTTCTCTTTAGAAACTGCATTATAAAGCACCATCTGCACCAGTTCAGAAGAAACTGAGCAAGAAATTCTATGGTCCTGAAAAGAGAATTCAGTCATTCATCCTGATAACACATACCACTTTGAAAGATATTCTATAGGACACATTTTTGCTTTATGGCTCAACCTTTCCCTCCCCAAACCAGATTAGTTTCATGCACTACATCATAGAGGATAAATGGAATACAAAATTGGGAGTGGCAACTTCAATTTTTTACATTATTTCAATAAAGTAAGGGATTTCCATGTAAAAAACATTTTGCAAAAGACAAAATCCACATGGGAAATGTCCCAACAGTATGTACAGACCTTAACAGTGTTAATAAAAACGTTAAAGATGATGGAATATCTTGCTAAAAAGAATAATGCTTAAAAACAAAGGTGAAAACTCTGGGTATTGATCAATTTTTAAAATAGCTGCATGAATATGGATGTACAATGATTTTTGTGCTAGCTGGTTTTTATATGTTAGGTGCAGCCTTATCTCATATCCTGATTATATTATTATTTTTTCTTTAAGTTAGCATATACAAATGAACATTATCTGTATAAAGTGTAAAGAGGGAATGTGAGAAATGTTTTTTTTTAAGTTTCATTTAGACATCCTTTGCAATGAATAACTATCTGACTTTTTTCCCATTCGTTGTGGAAAATACTTTTTCCAGTATTTTGTGATGTGAATCTTATGATAACTTCTTACATTTTTGTTAGAAGAAATACCTAGGGCCCCCATGACAAAAAAAATGACAAATGTCATTAATGTCTTGGAAAGGTGAACACCTTTGTTAAGATCTCCCCAAAATAAACCATGTTCTAGTCCCGCCTTGGGCACAGAGCCATTTGGGTGCCTTTAGCCAGTCATGCATTCTTAGCCTAGGAAGAAGGCAAGGGCAAACAATCTTGCCAAGAAAGTTTCAGGGACTTGTTTAGGAAGTAACCAGGAGTCACCACTGACTCAAAGGCACACACACAAAAAAGCATCAAGCAGAAATCTTGCTACTACAATATTTTCAGGGAGCTAACTATATGTATTGACTGAAGGGATGGTACATTGACTCCACTGCCAGGAGGTGTCTCCTTCTCTATTGAAAGCCAGTAGGCAGCTTTGTTGCTTAAATGATAACATCAAGTAGCTAAACATAACTAGCTACCTTGCACCAGAACCCAAATGTGTTCTCTATATGATTCCTGATTGGTTAGGATCCTGTACATCCTTTCAAATTAGAAAATGCACTTCAACAGATAATGGAAATAATAGCTGTAATAAGAGATGAAACATACAAGTAGAAAATTGGATGGCAGGTGTTTCACAGATACCTGCCTCACAGCCCTAACACTTGTATGAAAAATTTAAATTCAGCATTTCATACATAGCCCTAGAGTATACGACTCTGTTCTTTGAGCTGATATATCTGACTATCTTCCCCAAGGAAAAATACTTCTGAAAGTATTTAAAACAGAAAATGCATGTTGTAATTTTTTTCAAGATATGAACAAAAAGCTATTTCCATGAATCTCTTCCTATAAAGTCACAGCACCTTTTCACACAGACTAACACTGTATCACAGTGCCAGCTTCCTATGGAGATTAGACAGTTACATATAGATGTTCCCTTGTTAATGATCTCTTCTCTCCTTAAAACTCCACAGTTTTCCACAGTATTCTGTCCAATAACCTATCTACTGCCTCACACTATTTCAAAATTCTGTGGACCATACTATTTTTAAATCTGTGACATTATATATAAACCACATGAAGATGAATGCATGTATTTTTCTTTTTATTATAGCCACTTAATTCGCAGATGAGGATGTGCATATACACACACACTCACATGTACACACATACATACACACAGTTGAAATAGAGGGGAAATTGCTGGTGTAAGAATTGCCTAACCTAACTGCACATGGATAAAAGACCTTTGCCCATTCCACAGGTAAATAAATACATGTCAAAAACTTCCACAAGTTTTTGTAGAATACAAAATCTTGTAGAATACCAACAATGTTTGGGCAAAAAATGAGAGGAGACAGGAATATGCAAAATTAATACAATACTTGTTTTCTTCCAGATAACAAATACTATAAGCCACTACTGCCACCATCAGGCATTTCTAAATAGCAAATCAAATTAATTTCAGATAGAATAGAAATAGTGGCTTAAGATTCACAGTGGGAAAAATGTTGAGATATATGTAATAATATTTAACAACCCTTGCCAAATGCCTTTTCTTCAATGTTATATTAATAATTTATAAGCATGCCATTCTAATATATGCCAGATATACCCATTGTGAAAAGAACTACTTTTCCATCATTTGCCAAAGTTGATCTAGATTTACATTTAATGGTACATCTGAGTCTTTAAAAATTATGTGGGAAGAGCTATATCTATACAGGTAGTCCTTCACTTACAACAGTTCGTTTAGTGACCGTTTGAAGTTACGACACTGAAAATAGTGATTTATGACCATTTTTCACACTTATGACTGTTACAGCATTCCTGTGATCACATGATCAAAATTCAGAGGCTTGGCAACTGACTCATATTTATGATGGTTGCATTGTCCTAGGGTCATGTGATCACCTTTTGCAACCTTCCAACAAGCAAAGTCAATGGGGAACCCAGATTCAGTTAACAACCAAGTTGCTAATTTAACAATTGCAGTGATTCACCTAACAACTGTGGCAAGGAAAGTTGTAAAATGGGCCAAAATTCACTTAACTGTTTCGCTTAGCAACAGAAATTTTGGGCTCAATTGTGGTCATAAGTTGAGGACTACATGTATATAGATGGGTATATTAAATTGCAAAATAGGTACCCAAAGAAGAAATACTAAGGCTTCTTTTGCCTGCTGTTTATCAGTCAAACATAATTGCATATACACGAGGAATTACATTTTTCCACCTTATATCTACTACCAGAGGTCAGTAAACTGAGCCTGGGAGAAGATGCTATTTGGAACATGGTGCAAGGAAGAGTGTGAGTGCCTTTATCAAGTAAGTGCTGAGATTCAGGAACATCCACCTTTTAAAATATTTTCATCAATGGCCATTATATCTAATTTCCAGTCCTTCCCCTTACTCCACCAGTTCAAACAGAATGTTTTAATGCTGTTAGCCACACACAGACAAACAAATATAATCTGGAGACACCCAGGCACTCCAAATTTTCATTCCAGACTAAGATGCTTGCAGACAAATCCTGGGCATGTTTATGATATTCAGTGCAGGTCAGAATGACTAGGATTGTGACTGTAAGTGCTTAACTTTCTCTGAATTGTGCTCACTTGTCCTATGGCATGCTATAGCAGCTACCATTTGTTTAGGACTGATAGAAGGCAATCTTAAAAACTGTTCACAATGATTGAATCTGGAAATTCACCTGCTGTATTTAATTATTGTACCAAAAAGATCTTGAATTTAGCTAATACGGAGACACATGTATCTTTAACAACAAGTCTATCTATTTGGAACATTACAAAAACATGCCTTTTAAATCTATATTTTTAAAATAATCTCTCCAGAGGTACCTGAAAGTGCTGAAATATGCATAAATCTTCTAAAATGAGTGCTTTAGTAAGGCAATTATAATGGTGTAGACTTGCTTATACCGTAGAAGATCAAGACTACTGTTAATACACCTTGCTATGAAAACAGAACAGGAATCCAATCCAGTCAACTCACAAGATCTTTGAATAAGGGAATGTAAGCCTGCTTATTCCAGCTCATTAAGGAAAAAAGGAAAATGAGTTTCATGTTTAATATGGCCCCACAAAAGTATAATGTCCAAACAGTAGAGCTTTACTAATAGTCAGAAATGCCTGGAAGTCTTATATAGTTTAATAATAAAAGAGGATAAAATACATATAATACACTAAAGTATATTTTAATGTTATACTTATTTTTAAAATCCTCATTATGTTAAAACTTGAGAATACAAAATAAATGTCAAATTGTTTATTTCAAATAAGAACTATTTGCATTTTTTGGAGCATCTTGCTATTAAAAGCCTTAACACAAGGGATGGGGGGGAAATATCTGTTTTGTGAATGGATTACCAGGCATGAAGTTAGTAAGGTTCTACTGTGTGGGTAAGAAGGATATCTTTCTCTAACGTTTATTAAGTTCTGGTGATTAAATTCATGTGATAGCATGCAAGTTGCTTCCCTTTTACATTTTATGTTCACTCCCTCACTTTTAAGATAACCATGCATCTCCTCTTATTAAGTTCCATATTTTTAACCCTTTACAATACTTCTCTTCAGTAAAAAGAACTTAGCAATTGCTACAGTTCTTCCCAAATAGTTTGGTGGCTATATATTTTGTATATAACTAACATAAACTACTAGTAAATACAATATTGAGAGTAAGATTTAGTATCCATTTAAAATCTCTTCATTCCTCTACAAGGCTATACAACATTTGTGGGGTAAGCTGTGTTAACAGACAAAAATGTTTTAAAATAAAAGTTATTTAAAAATATCCCAAGTTGTAAACATATTTAAAAGGACTATAAATCATATGATTGCTTTGCTCTTTTAAATCTTCAGAAACAAAGAATCGCTTTGAAAATGGTATCACTTTTCAAAATACCCTTAGATATAAAATGGCGCATACTATGAATATATGTTAAATATCTCATTTTAGGACAAAATTATAAGTGAAACTTGAAGAACATAAATGAATTAATAAATTCTATTATAATAGCTGTACTTATTTCCCGTCCCCCGAACTTCTAAAGCCATGAAGATTCTAGTTTGTTAAAACTTGTTGCCAGGTTTAATTATACTCTAGTATAACAGCTTCTTAAGAAGGGATCAAATTACCCACAGTAGCTGCCAATGGATCAAAGTCAATCACTGCAGGCAATCTTGGCTCCAGGTGTGAAAAACCTGCCAAATGGCCATTGCAATGATGGTTTGCTAAGGGAACCTGACTTTCATTCTTTTTTATCCTTCTTCTTCTTCTTTTTTTTTCCATGGGCTACGGCTGTGCCACATTCATCTGCTCTTTCATGCACAGAAACATACTGTAGACACTGAGCAATTCATTCTTTTCACTGGGAAGATCGACTTATAAATGGTAAAAATAAAATTATGCAGTAAGACATGAACAATGTTATATTTTAAAACAGTAAGAATGCTGGACACTTCTTAAAGGGGAATTACCAGGGAGAGCCATGCAAGCCAAACTCACTCCATTCCAAAGCATCCCTAGCAACTTTCCGCCCCCCCAGATACAATATGGCCTACAGAATTCCAGTTATTCTTCTCTTTTGCTTTTCTGTGTTAACAAGGAATGTGCTTTGGATTCTATCGAACAACTAAACAAGCTACACACAATTTGGAAGGACCTATGCAGTCATCATGGCAGAAGGCGCCACAGCCCTTGCATACTATCATGGCTTTCAGCCTGCAAGAACATTTCAGTTCCAACTCATCTGCGCTGCTGCTGTCGGCAAATTTCTGAACTGGGATTTGGGCATTTTGAATAGGTAGGCTTGTGGTTGTAGTTGAACTACTCCCTAAAATCCCAATAGATTTTTCAATGGCAGAGGTCGCCCTTTTGAAACTTGTGCTACCAAAGTGTATTGTAGGGTAATTTCCACGCTGCTGCTGCTGTGCCTGTATTTTTGGAGCAGTTAATGGGGCAAAAGGCTTCTGTGATTCTGAAAGTAAATAGGAAGGGAAGTCGGCATTTTTCAATGCAAAAGCTTTCAACTGTTCTTTGACTTCATTCTGATCGTAGGGAGCTTGTTTCATGCCTAGCTCACAGCTGCTGCTTAAGCCTTCCTCCAAAGAAATGGGTTCTGATTTTATATTGCTACAGACATTTGCCGGCTGAGGCCAACTAAGTCTTTTGGTGGTTTCCATAGTAACTCCTGGTTGTTTGTGATCAGATGGAGCTTCTGCATTGGGAGGGGGAGGGGGCGGAGGGGGTGGGGGATGCACTAATGATTTATTCTGCAGAGTTTGTGAGGCACTGGGGATGTCATCACTTTCCTTAATTTGAACGTTTGGGGAAAAAACAGTTGCCAGTCTCAGCTGGTGAGGTGCTGTAGACATATTGGCCTCTCCCAGGGCCTTCTGCTCTAGGTGCCTGCTGAAAGCAAAGGAACTGCAGCCAGATGGGGCTTTTAAAGTTGCCTGCATCAAAGTCGCTGTAGTAACAGGGCCTCGGGCAGCCATTGGCATTTGGTAGAAATGCGGTTGATGCGAGGTACTTGTTTCGGTGTGGAAGCTGCCATTTTTCTCTACACTAAATAAGTTCTTCTGGAAACTACATGAGGGCAATGGCCTTTTCTGCTGTTTAATCTCTGGACTGTGAGCTATTCTGCTTTGAATGGTGTGCTTGCTTGGCCACTCCTGTTTAAATAGTTGGCCATGTCCAAGTTGATTCATGCTAGAAGTGATTATACAAGGAGTCACTTTAATATCTGAATCCACTGAAGGCTTCCCAGGCTCACATTTAATTTCTCCAGCTGTCCTGGCTACTCTCTTTTTGGGATGATTTTCACGTTTGCGGATTTGTAGTGGGAGTATATTTGTGGTTGTAAAATCTCTCCCGTCTGCATTTGGGGAGCTGGAAAGATTTTCGACTGTGTTTCGCTCGGATGTGACTGATTTACACCTGGAGGTAGTTTGCAAAGGTAAAGGAAGTCGACTGATTTCTAGTTTGGCCCCCAACCTGGGCTGCGGCAATACTTTTTCCAATGGCAAGTTGCCTTGCAGTAACTGGGTCACTAGAGGATTATTGGCTTCTACTGATGACAAGCGGCAACTTGAGGTTCCAGCATTTGTAACTCTTTTCAATGTCTCTGTTGTCAGTGCCAAAGAGTGCTCCATGGAATCGGTTACAGATCTCTTAGAGCTCTGAGCTGGCTGGGAACTTGGGGCTATTTCTGCAGTTTGCACAGGAAGTTCAGGTCTTACAAAATCTTCCGTGTCCATCCTAAAGCATTTGTCAGATTCGTTTCTTTCTGACTTAACAGGCAAGGCTATGCTTGTCACAACATTTCTTGTATGCATCTCGTGCAGATGTACCAGACCTGAAGGCTCTGTTTTCACATTTTTTAAACAGTTATTTTCTGAATATTCCTTATGCTTACTTGGGTTAAGATGACTGACCAAAGGCTGCTCAGTATTCATTACCTCATTGTCATTCCAACAGATTCGGCTGTTAGGATTATATCGGTTGGTACAGATACTTTCTGCTTCCCTCTTGAAAGTTAAAGGATCTTGAAACTGTTCTGAGAAACCTTGGGTTGGAGGAACAACATCCAACTGTTTATCTTGAGGCCCAAGAGGCACTTCCCGAAGAGCAGTACATGCTGCTTGTAAATGCTTGCCATCTTGCTTGGTTGGACCATTGTTAAAAGCAGAGCTGGGCTCCAAATGTTCATTATTAAGTAGCTCTGGCCTACTTATGACAGATACTTGTGGGCATGTTATGTTTTGTAAAGCAGTTTCAATCCTAATTGGCCTGTTTTGCGCTTCCCCGCTACTTTCTGTACTTTCCGTGGAAAGACCCAGAGATAAGCTTGAATTCATTGTTGTCATTGTGTGATCAACAATGACTTTACAAGGAATGGATCTATTTGCAGGTGCCTGTATATATCCTACTGAGGGTTTACCAGGCATATCTAAACGGCTTCTCATCCCCGAATTTCTCTCTATGCCATCAGCACTCATTTTGGTGGAATTCTCATAAGAATTTACAGTCATCATGTTGCTGGGAAATACAGAAATGGAAGTTCTGCCAATGGAATCTCCTACTGAAAGTGCCTCATTTCCATGTAAAGCTGCCCTAACAGAGATGCTGTTTGACAAAGCACTTGGGTCACTGCACCCAGTTAGGGATATCTTATCCGAAGGATATCTACTTATAGATCCCCCTGGAGGAATCAAAACAGAGCTGCCAGACAGGTGATCTGCTAAATTACTTACAACAGATGAAGTTGGCACAGTGGTATACTGACTTGAAATTGCACTGGTTGCATTGCTACTTGGCATTGGTAATATTTTCTTCTCTAAGGAATCTGACAAGACGGTAGTGTTGGCTGTGGCTGGAGGACCGGAGTTTTCATGACATTTTGGCACAATAGAAACGCATGGAGTGTCAGCCCCTTGGATGGATTTCAGCATAGTTATATTGCTAATCTTTGTGTCTGTACTTTCTACAGACATCAAAACAGAGGGCTTATCAACTGCACCAGCAAAAGAAAGTTCCTTAATTGTTCCTGACTTAGCAGTGCTACACACAGAACCAGGAACTGAGTTTTTCTTATATAGGACTGAAATACTTTCTGGAGAGGTAGAAGATAGCATTTTCTCACAAAAATGAGGCACAGATATGCTTTCATCAGAATTTTGAACAGGGATATCAGTGCTAGTTTCTGGCAAAGAAGTGGCATTAAGAGAGTGCTGCAATAAAGCAGTAGTTTCACGAAGGTGAGCAGATTTGTTGCTAGGAGACCGACAGTTAGGATTAACTATAATTACACCAGTAGAACCTTCAATCTTTGTTTCAGAAGCCACAGAGATCTCCACAACTGATGGAGCTTCTTTCAAGGCCTGCTGAGACTTGCTTTCCTTGTTGCTCTGGAGCAAGTGGGCTCTTGCTTGGTGCTTTGCAAACAACTTGGCCTTTGTTTGCTCCTTGATGTGGGCCAACGTTCGGGTCTTCCCACCTTCACAGGGGCTCCCTAGCCCTCCAGAAACAATGCTTGCAGCTGCAGCAACTGCAGCAGCTGCTGCTGCTTCCCTCTGAGCTCTGGCTTGCTGGGCTCTTGCTTTGATATCTGCAAGAGTTCTGGCCCCCGTGTTCCTCCCGCTGCTCACGGAGGTACTTGGAGTAGCCCTAGGTTCTGGTTTGGAAACCGGCTGGCTCTTGATGATAAAGGGTGGGCCAATTTTTGAGAGTTGGATCTGAATGGGAAAAGAGAATATATTAAAACCGTATTAGAAAATCAGAATTTATGGTGAACAGCTTTACGTTTTTACCATATGATGGTGAAAATGTTTAACATTCTATATATTATTAATCCCCCTCCCCCATTAATATATTGCTTTAGGAATTGGAGGAAATAATATTTGTATTGTCAGAAAATAATGAGTTTAGTTTCAAGGTCCTTTAATATTTTCCAGCACATCTATTTATGCTGCATGCCTCTTTCTGTACAGTTTGCTTTTCACAATCATATTTTCTGATTTTCAGTGTTGTATTCAGAATATAGGTATTTGAAAAAAGATTTCATTGAATTTTCTATAGGTTTTGCAAAATTAGAAGCCAGAAAAACATTTATTTTCATAGGTAGTTTCTCTTTCTAGTCACGGTTATAATTTAATACATCAAAGTTCAATTATCTTAACCCAACTGTTGGTAGCATCTGAATGAACACCACTTCTGCGGAGCTCTGTTACAAGGAACTATGCATATGCAGCAACTAAATAAAGCAAACAAAGCAAGAATGCAATGTTTATTCATACCCTTCTACAAATTTTGTATGTCTGACTATCTAAGTAACTGACAAAACTCCACAAGCCCGGGGGATAGCACGCTTTTATCTCTCATATGACTTTTCTCATTTATGGTTAATGATTCCATTATTTTCATTGCATAATATAATGCATCTTAAGAACCAGAGGCATGAATGACAGAGTTTATGATTTTACAAATGTTACAGTGAACAATTTTCCTTTTTCATTAATGTGTTGCTCAATGACAAAACAAACATTTGCAAAATACTATTGACAATTTCTAATGCTGTGTTCCTGAGGGTGGAAAATCACTTTTATAAAATATAGTATTTCATAATAGTGACATGTCAACTGAGGATGTTATAAGGAAATCTATTTATTGGCACCCTACAAGGAACAACAAAATGATTTTGTAGGCAAAAATTAGTAATTATGAGGTATCAGTTATTTGTGGAAACTGCTTATGGAAACAGTTTCCAGTGTTTCTTGATTTAGCTAAAATACAATCCAGGTAATATGTAAGTTTCTAAACGTCTATTTCAATTTACCTTTAAGGGTGGGACTCTGGGCTCTTCTCTAGGTGGTGGCTCTCTTTCAGATGAATTTGTTGATGAATTACGATGGGCCTGATCATCTTCAATTCTAGCTCTCTTCTCTTTACAGATTCCAAAACTGTGATGTTCAGCTGTTTTCCTCTTTGGAATCTCCAGGTCCCTGCTTTCATTTCTTACTTCAGGTGACTTGGTAACTTCACTTGATTTTGAAGAATAGGAACTTTCAAACCGATTCTGTATAGTCCCTTGAAGTTTGTGAGACTTATTTCTGCCAATTTCTAAAGATGATGTTGAGGTATATAACTTATCATGAGACTTAGATGGAAGAGATTCAATATTTTTGCATTCTGCCACTTCTGTTAAGATAGAAACTTCCACTTGAGAGATTGCACTTTTATTTTCAGATCGTTGGTGGCTACCATGATTTCTCATTTTTATCACTTCTGAAGAAGAGTTTTCTGCAAGAGAAGAAATGAAACGGTTCTCTATTTCAGTTTGTGACCTACAGGTTTGATTAGTAAGATTTCTGGACTGGGATCCTTCTGCTAGTGAAGGTTCAGATATGACAGCTTTCATAGCATCAGGTACACCTTGAAGTGAATTTTGTTGTGATGGAATATTATCTTCTTGTGGAATATTAGGAATGCTACAGGTTTCTTCTTTCAGAGGTGACAAGGATTCTTCAGACAAACACAATGATTTTCTTTGCTGAATAAATCTTTCACTCACTGGTGAATTGGAAAGTGGAGATGCTTCTGAAGGCAATAGTAAACTATTTGAATGAGATGTTTCAGAAGCTAAAAGAACAGAAGACACTGAAGAAGTTTCAGATGTCAAGGGCAAATCAGACATTGGGGAAGTTTCTGATGGTAAAGGTAAATTAGAAACTGGTGATGCCTCTGAAGTTAGGGGCAAATTTGACAACAGAGATGCTTCTGATGTTACAGGTGAGGCTGGGAGTGGAGATATTTCAGATATTAAAGATGTATTCAGATTATCATCAACAGATTTTTGTTGAGTATCAGTTTCAGTGTTTTCAGTGCAAGACATGTCTGATGAGCATACAGTTTCAAGAGACACTGGTGTAGAAGGTTCCTCTGAAGTCGATTGGGTGTCACCTCCAGGAGATGCAATACTGGCAGATGGTTCTTCTGGGCTTTCAGCAGAAAAAGATGTTTCAGAAACACAGGCATTTTCAGAGGACAGTTCATCAGGGTCACTCTGCAATTCCATATGTACTGCAACACCTCCACCAGTGAATAAGGAACCATTAAGGACAGGGGAATATTTTCCATGAGGACTAAGTTCTTTTATGGATTCCAAATCTTTTTCTTCCACATTACTAACAGAATTTGAGGAAGAAGCAGACTGTGAAGGTGATAAACTGCTTTCTATCTGATCTGTTATGACTGACATTTCTTCCTGGGGATATTCCAATCTTTCCTCTTCTTTGATTTCAACATGTGATAATGGACTTACTACATCATTCATCACAACACAGGATTCAGAATTCCTTGTAAGTGGTAATGGGTCTGTTTCTTCATTTGTAGCAACTGGACTTACTGGTTGTTCGGAATTCACATTTTCTTTTTGGTTCTCTTCCTGACATTCACAAATACTTGTCTCAACTTCCTCAGCAATCTCTTCTTGAATAATGGATTCTTCTGGAATCAAAATGTCTTCTGTTTCTGCCATTAGATCCTTGGAAGGAACATGTTCCATGTTGCAAAGTGCCTGACAGAAATCTCTCTCTGGCAAGAGTGGAGATTGATTGCTCTTTTCTTCATGGTCATCAAAAGAAGGCTCTCTAGAAGGACCAGGCAAATCCGAAGAACCAGAGAGGGATTTATTATCGTCTTCATTATTTTGTACTGATGTAAGCTTCCTAGATTCTTCCACTGACATCCCCAACCTAGTCAAGAGATCACAGTTAAATTACATAACCATATTTCAATAAACATATGTCAGAAAAATAGCTATTGAGTTTCATTCTATGCTACAAACATATAATCTCTAAAGGAATCAAACGTACCAAATTTCTGATCTAGAAAAAGTATATTTGACTAATAAAATAAAATTTAAATATGCTTATATAACAACATTTTTGTCATTTAATTACAGGTATTGACATTTCATTCCACAGTGATATATACTCAACTAAAGCCAGGGCAAAGAGACATTACACAGTTACATGCAGAAAATTACTCTGCTTGTCCTGGTATCCAGCCTTCAGTGATATCATAGAAAATCTATCGGTGGACTGGAGAGTGTGTTAAAAGCCTGTCATCTCTGGCCATTTCTCCACTAGCAGTTTACAGCATATTCTAGAGTCATCCAACCATTATTATGCCAAAATGACAGTAATGAGGACAGATTCTATACCACCTCAGTGATGGCTGGATGATGCCATGAAGGTATTATAAATCTCTAAAGAGGAAAAGGGGTTTACCTCAAATTTTGTTATTTTTAACTTCCTCAACTGTTTTTTTTTAATTATTACTTCAGTTTACTGATAGAAAGTATTTTTGTCTTATCTAACTATTCTGTCACTATAGCATTTAGGGTACACAATATTTTTAAGTCTTGGGGGGCCTTTAATGACATGCCAGAACCTCACTTTTAAAAAGTAGATGTAGCCAAAAATTGATTTATTGAAATTTGAATTTCATTTTAAAATTAAACACAACTAATATGATTGTTCATTTAACATTTCCATCTTGTGTTCTCCTATTATGTACAAGTAAAGTGTTCTTTGAGTAAAGCTCTACTTTATGGCTACATCCATATAATTTTCTTGATAGCAGATGTATTTTGGCAATGCTTTCTGGAAACAAATTTAACAAGATTTCTTTCTGAGCATTTATATATGGAATTACCCTGTCTGATATAATATGCAATATTTGGATTTGTTATGTGAGAAAGGTGACCTCACGGTATATGTAATTTTCTTGAAAATATTTATATATTAATTTAATGCTCTTCAGATGAGCCAAACTATAATTCCAATTGGCCCCAACTAGTCTAATTCATACTAAGGATAATAGGAGAAGACCACATTAGATAAAAGATGGATTAAACAAGAAAAAGGACAATAGACTTATTTTTCTTAGAATGAGAAGACACTATGTAAAATTGGTAAAGGTTTTTGCTAGTACAGACACTGTAATCTCTACACTTATTTTAAGTATTAGTGTGTCAAAAATGAAAAAAATCAGGGTCATTGAGCCCTTTGTGAAAGAGATAGGAAATAGTTATTTTGAAAAAGTAGAAGTGATATTCTTTCTGTAAAAAAAAGTTCTGCATGGATTTCCAAACTCTGAAGTGGGAAATTATTTTGCAAAAGTTTTTTCATTAACCTGGATGCATGTTAAAAAAAAAGGATAGGAAAAATATTTTTCTTATCAGAATTATGAAATCTTTGTCTATGAAACCAGAAAATACCTATGATTATGATTTGCAGAAATACTGATATATTATTGCAATGATGTAGTCAATCCTATATACAATATTCATAACAAAAAAAACCCTTTTAGATAGAGCTTCTTTTGAAAGCTTTTAAATATTTTTTCAAAAATAAAATGATATAAACTGGTAGTCATCAAGTTATGGCAATTGTTAAGTACATCCCTATGTGACTGCACCTGCTTTTATGACTTTTTGTGCAGCAGTTCTTAACAACTGAGTCCTGCAGTTGTTAAACAAACACCATGGTCATTAAGCGAACACAGCAGTCATTAAGTGACCCCACTCTATCCAATGGGTGTATTTTACCGGAAACCAGAAGTGAATCCTGGTTTCCAGCAAAAAATGTCATAAATTGTGGTCATGTAATCACGGGATGCTGCAAACGGCTGTAAACCTGGCCAGTTGCCAAGTGCCCAAAATGACTGTGGGGCCCCAGCTGTCAGAACTTTGAAACTGGGCTGTAAATAGCTCTGAACAGGTTCATTGTAACTTTCAACGGTTGAAAGTAAGTTGAGGGTTACCTGTATAAAGGAACTAACATGAATACATTTTGTTAATATAATATATGTGATTGCCTGCAGTGAATTTGAGGATATGGCATACATGTCTCATATAACTGTTATGTATCTGATTAGAAAATAATTTCATCTGCTTAAATGATTAAACATTTAATATTGAATGTCTCTGCCTATGCTTAATACGTATTTATGAAAGAAACAAGCATATTACTCTTTTCAAACAGAAATATTCTTCCACTGCTGTTGTTTTTTTTGTATCTCTATAAAATATAATATATGCATTCCTATATAATATAACACACAAATATACATTGTTTTTATTCACTCAAGTCAATACTCTAGTAAAGGATTTTATGAGGGAAAAACAAGTACTAAAATCATTTTTGTGATTATATTTATCTAATTTTATTACTTTGATTCTTTCTGAAATTTGATTCTTTCTGAAGGTTAAAAAAGGATGAGATTTACGTATTCATATTCAGTCTGTATTATAGTGTCTCTATTTGAATTTAATGTTTAATACATTTGGGAAAGGGTTTGGTGAAATTTTAGATTACTGTTAGTGTTGAAAATAGGAAGTTGAGAAATTGAAAAAATAAATCCAAGGAAGCTTTAGCAATGCCATTAGGAACTAAAATAATTGGTAAATTTATTAGGCACTTTTTAAAACTAAAAGTTAGATTTCATGAAGTATCTGTTAATAGCTATGCACATTATTACATAACTGAGGACATTTCTCTTTGATACTTACTTTTCTCCATAAAATCTTTCAAAGAACTTCTCTTTCCAGGGTTCTGTTTTCTTTTCCTTTTCAATTTCTTGCCTGATGCGCAACTGCATCTCAGGTGTAAATTCTCCTAAAAGATACAAGAAATGGAAGGTCCAAAGAATTAATCTAGGGGTGCAACTGAGTTTTGTGTAGTGCAGGAATTTCTGCAGGCGACCCGTTATATAAATGCTGTGCTAAAGTTGTTTGGCCAACCGTGCTCTAAGATTTAAAAACTTAGACAAGTGTCAAAGATTTTTTGCACATTGTGAAACACAATCAACATTGCTTTCCTAAACATCATGCAGTTCCTGTGCTCTGCTAGCTGCTGCTTGAGAAGCCTCCATCTTTGGGCAGCAGCTTTTCATGAGGCATGGACGGTAGAAGTTTTCCCCTATTGCAAATAGTGGTTCAATATTCAATCCAAAATTTGAATCCAAACTTCAAAACTCAATCCAAAATTAATTTGAGAGAAACCTATGCTAAACCTATGGTACTTGTAGTGCTGTTTTTAGTATTTCTAGAGTGTATTGGTGGGATTTAGTCACATGCATTTAGGTTTCCAAAGCTGACACTGATGAAAATGCTTGTTCATATTTTAAGTGAAAGTACCCATTGGTAATCTGTTGTGAGGCATAAGAGACAGATGTGCTTAACACAACTGGAAGATGATCTAGAGTACATAGTTTTGAAATCTTGCCACTTTACATATTATCAATTTCATTTTTTAGTTTTCTATCCCGCCTTTCCTCCAGGAGCTCAAGGCAGTGTTATAGCACTCTGTCCCCAATTTTTCCCCACAACAATTGTGCAAGGTTCATTGAGTTGAGCGAGAATAAAATATTAAAAGTATTGAAATGAATGTTTTCCTGGCTGTGACATAAGACAGGAACTCTTTATGGAGGGAAAAACACTATTGGTTAAATCTAGTAACAAGTAGAAAATTACCTTCTGCCAATCGCTGTTTCCACCCTTGTGCTGCATATGCAAAGAATTCATTATTTAGAGCGGAACTACTGAGGCGCAAAACTCCATCACTTCCCATCTAGAAAATAAGCCGATGGTAGCAGAAGACACTGTCAGAGATTGCTTCAACTAAGAGTACATAAGAAGAGAGCTCCAATCATGTGAAATGGGGAAGGATAGAAAGTAGGAATAACATAGGGAATAATTTGCTAATATTAAATACGGTAGCATTTTCATTATAGTCATCAAATTAAATGCAAGTGGCCTAATCCAACATCAGTGTGCCTATAATAATGTTCTGTTGATTATGATATTGGAATCCTATGCATGTTTATGTCCGTTCTGTTCAATGGGCCTAATTTTCAAATAATGATGCAATCTTTGTTTATGATCTAATAGCAAATCAAAGAAATATTTTTGAGATGGAACAAACAATAGCAACATTGGAAACATTAATTGATGTCCAATATTTCTCATCTCTAAAAAAAGAGAATATATTTTTGGTTAGCAAGAAATTATTAGACCAACAGTATGTCCAAACTTCATACAGAGTAAGAAATAAGTAAACTAATGCATTATTTCACAGAACTGCAGTGGGTAGAATTCAAAGCTAATAAAACAATATGCTACTAGGATTCTGTGACCCTTCCTTCAATCACGTTTCTAATGATGACATGAGACGAATGAAGTGCAGTGGATGACTTGCAATGGAGATAACATAGATACATTAAGAGTGTAAGCAACCTTTTTCTTGGCTAGTTGAGGGCTTACATTTTTTGAATCTTGAAGTCTACAGTGTGCATTCACAAGATTATGTTAAGAGTTTGCAGAGTGAATAGTAAATTAGGTATGGTTAAGAAAAACCAAAATAAGAAGTAGCAGTTTTAGGTTCTAGCTTCCTCCATTCATCTTAATCTCTTTTTAGATTAAGAGTTGGAAATCAGTTAACATTTTACACTAGAAACATTTGAAACATGAAAGAATCCATTTTTCACCAAGTAAAGTTCCACACTTCTCATGATCTAATTTAAATACATTAAATAAAATATATTGCTTTCAAAAGGAATAAGAGTAGAGGAAAAAAATCTAAGACTTCTGCTCAGAATCAATCATTATATCAGAATGTTTTTAAATCTTTAGAGCATGTATTGTATAAATTAAAGAATTAAAGAAAAAGAAAACTAAAAATTTCTAAATAGACAATTCAATAGTCTATGTTACAAAGAAGGCACAATTAACCATGAAAATTAAATTATTTGGAGGAACATGCCAATAAAGTACTTTTGAAATACACTATTAATTTTTACAGTTCTCAAGAAATGCTACCTAATAGAAACAATGCTTTAATGAGCCAGAACAACAATTGTTTTTAAAAGTTATTTTCTTCTTCTTTTGGGTTTGGAAATCCGATTTTGTCCAATTAAACACAATGAGATTACTATTTACCAGGCGTGCACTTTCTGAAGAACTTCCACCAAAAAGATTAGCTTTTAAAAAAAATATCTAAAAGGGGAACCCACCAGATAGAACCTACCAGTTATTTTCATAAACCAAGAAAATCTCAAACCTTAATAAATATTAACTTTTTTATAATTGGAATACATATTATACCATGTAAACTTTCATTTTATAAAACTACAAATCTTTATGATTTCCTAAAAGAATACACTATTTTACAGATGATCAAATTTTCCTGTATAGCTAATATCTTAAGAAGCATTCAACCAGTTAAATCTATTATCTGTTTGACTCCCTGCAGCTCAATCCAATATTACCATTACTGTTTTATAAAGCTACCACTTAACCTTTCTACATAATTGATAAGCAGAAATATTTCTCAAATAAAAGATTCAGTTATTATAGGTTGTAATTCTATAGTTAATATAAGCAGTAATACTGTAGACATTACATTATTTGATTATACTACAATAGTAAAGCTTTAGCTTTATAACATCAAAGGCTTACTTTACTAAATTAACATTTTATCATCAAATATTGATTTCCCATTTTAAGGGACAATATTAAATTATTATTGCCTTTTAGAAATTTGTGAGGAAAAGATTATTTTAGAAACTTTCTTGCAGACATTTAAGAAGAAGGTGCCATGAAGAAAATGATTAACTATAATGTTTTGTAGAAATGTAATAATCGTTTAATCGTTTTATATTTAAGACAGTCTATAAATTAAAGGTAAATGTTTACCATTCCATCACTTATCAGTTTGGTCAAATCTCATAGGAGTCTGTTTTTCAATGTGTAAAATGTGACTCCATTTCATATCCAAATGTAGCCACTACAATTTTGACTTTAACCCAATGTACCTTTTGAGGCATGAAGAAATCTGGAGTCTGAGATTTTAGCTTTTACTACTATTAAATTATATGAATTAAATACACTATCAAAGAAATATTGTGGCAGTCAGAAGATTCAAATATGTAATGAGTGCTAACAAATTAATAGAAAAATGTTCAGAGCCAAAAATCCACACACTGTAAGTAATTTAGAAAGGTCACTGAAAACTGCTCCATGAATTACATTCCAGTAGAAATCACAACATACTCAAATATTTCAACTGAGCAACTTTCCTAAAAAATACACTTTTCTACAAGGAAATTTAGCAGTTAGGTAAGTTAACTAAATATGTGTATACCACTAGTATAAATGCATACTATATGGTCACCCTTTGCACCTTGAAACACCAGAGAAACAAACACAGGCTGGAGCTTCTTTTAGGTTCAAACTCAGAATTCTTTACTATTCTGCAATGGGAAAATTAACATTCTTAAATTTTCCTATTTTGCCATAGGAATAGAAGTTTAATAATCCTGATGCATACCTTAATATCAACTATCATACAGAGATGCATCAATGCTTAAGCTATTGTACACAATGCCAAAACTTCTTCAAAATAAGTGCAAGAAAATGACTGAAGTTATTTTTCAACATGGTGCACACCGGATGAGTTGACAATATGGATTATCCATAGAGTTCCAGATGAACCATTCCTTAGCCACCTAAATGAATTTTATTTGAGAAAACCAAGTGAAATGCAAAAAGGGATTAATACAGATTTTTGTGGAAAGTGGTTTATATTTCTATATTTTACATTCTGAATGGGAAATGAAATGAAACATTATTTTCCAAGGGAAATTATTTGTATTGATAGTATATACTGTCACTTTGTGGAATGTATGGGTAGAAAAGTATGTGTACTTAGTGGGATACATACAGTGGTGAAATCTAAAATTTGTTACCGGTTCTGTGGGCGTGACTTGGTGGTGGGGGTAATGTGACTGGGTGGGCGTGGCCAAATTTTTTTTTTACTTTTAAAACCATTTTTTACATGTAAAACCATGTAAAAAATGCTTTCAAAAGGCTCTGACAATCCCAGCTGAGTTGCCTGATCGTCAGAGGGTTTGCCGATCAGGCAACTCAGCTGGGATCGTCAGAGGCATTTAAAAGAAAAAAAGCCTCTGATGATCGCGCGGCTCAGCTGGGCATGGGGGGCGGGGCAGGGATTTTTGCTACCGGTTCTCCGAACTGCGTGCCGCCATCGCTACCTACTCGCCCAAGCCGGTCCAAACCGGGAGCATTTCACCCCTGGATACATATATTAGTTATACATGTCATGATAAACCTATCTCAGTAGTTTTAACTTCCTCTGGCTGTAACCAAATGAAATTGAGGAAATATTGGACCACATATTACCAAATGTATGTTGCAACAGAGAACTATATGAATATGTTTCAAAATATTAAACTATAGAATCATCAGAATACGCTGAGATTGGCATGGTGACTGTGCAATAGCACAGATTTAAATCTGGTTTTGAAAATACAAAAAGTGCTTACCTACTAAGCCCTTTTCATATACTAAGCCAATTCATATACTATGCATATGAACTTGATGTTCAGGTATATAAACAATGCAGCTAAATACTGTAGCATAAAATGAACGTGTGATTATTACAACATTTATCCAAATTGTTACTCATGGCTAGTGAATTGATAGGTGAAATTTACTGCATCAGGTCATTAAGCTATTTAGACCAACATTGTCTACTCTGAGTGATTTCTCTCTGGTGAGATTTACTGATATTTGTTGCCTTAAATATTTTCCTTTAAAGTCTTGAATTAAGGGCATTCTGCTTATAAATATGTGTTTGTCCTAAATTATAACCCCCAAACTGCAACTGAATAATGCTGTTCTTGTGACACAATTGCAAGGTAACCTAGTTTTATATTCTATCTCTATATACAGAGGTTGTGTAAACAAATCCCAATGTGTTAAAAACTAGAAAGTATGTAAACAGTGTGTCTAAGAAAAACTGCAGGTAATCAAGAATATCTTCCCAAGAGAAGCAAAAGAAAATTGGACTGCAAACCAATTTTTTAAATGTAACAGCTGCAATTCAGAAAAGTACAAGCAAAGGATCCATCAGCTTACTGGAAGAACAGGTTACTATTTGTAACAAGCAGAGGAAGAGGGAGTGGGGAGAAGTGCAGGAATAAAGAAAATAAACCTTTTTGTTTGCATATTTTGGGTTGCAGCCAACAGTTTAAAATAATTTTTCATTATAGTAACTGAGAGATTTTTTATTAAAAAGGGATATAAATAAATGTTCTCCATTACCCAACCGTAAAAGATTTTAAAAAGTTGACACCTCATTTTTCTAATGGAAAATTGGGCATTAATCATGCCCTAGACTCTTTTTTGGAAACCATAACATCTATCCATTACATTAGCTGGTACTATGGCAAACTAAAAATACACCAATTTTATTTCTAAATTTAGACTATAGATTATAATCAAGACCTTTTTTTGCTTTGCTAACTGATAGCAATATCCCAATAGACAACATCTTACTAGCTTCCAAACTCAAGGGCTAGAGATAGAAGATGAATAAAAGTAACCAAAAGAAAATGCTGGTTTCTAGCAAAAATACCATAAATTGTGGTCATGAAATTGCCATAAATGTGGGCTGACTGATGAATGCCTAAAATACAGTCATGTGACTATAGGCAGGTAGGCATCAGAACTTCAAACCTGAGTCACAAGTAGCTTTTTTGGAAATCTATT